CATGCACATGGTGTTCATCACATGCTACATTTTCTTTAACCATAGACTGTTTGAACTATTTGCTTTCATAAGTTTTTTTTATTTTTTAGTTGAGAGTTATCTGTTAGAGTTCCACGTGTCATGTTTTATGCAGTTTATCATAATGAACACTTTAGTTCAAGCAGAGGAATAGGTGAATTGCTTATCCAACACATAAAATGGTGAGAGGAAACCCAGAGGAACCTTCAGGAACTTGTGTCCTCTGTTTGTTTGTTTTTTTGTTCAAACTGAAGGAATCGTCTGGTCAGATCCAGCAGTTGTGATCTGTCCTGTAATGAATCAGTGCATTTTACTGAGCTGTCATCGCCACAATCAATTTCAACTCAGACGAGTTTCTTTTCATTCTCGCTCGTTCATCCGATGAAAGAAAATTGTGTCCTGATGTTTGTGTAGATGATTATTTCATGACCCACTCAGATCTATTTTTGAAAGCCCGAGGGGGTTTCCCCTAAGTATATAAACCAGGATGTGCTACCTTAAACCACCTTTACCCTCCTTCATCTAAGTGAATGAAATATTCCCCAAGTGGCTAAAACTTGACATAAGTTTGACAAAAAATAAAACTAAAAGAAAAAAGAAAACCATCTCCAATGATCCATTGAATCATCTGTACTTTGTTTTAATAGCATTTCATCCATTGGGAGATAAGGTCTATATGCAGCTGCATTAAATTAGTTTTCAAATATTCTGTTCCACTAATATTAGTATTATAACTACTAGATAATGCTAATGACAGTAACATTAGTCATATTAGTTATTGTAATACTAAAATATTTGTTTTCTGATAACATCCTTTATCTCTTGTCAAATACTAATGGAGCCCTCAGAGAGAGAGAGAGAGAGAGAGAGAGAGAGAGAGTGTGAGTGTGTGTGTGTGTGTGTGCATGTGTGTGTGTGCATGTGTGTGTGTGTGCATGTGTGTGCGTGTGTTTTTGTGAGTCGTCCGTCAGATGTGCGGTGTCTTAGGGATGATAGAATAACATGGACCCAGACACTCTGAGGCCTGGCGCAGTAACCGTTACTCTCTATGTACTCGTGCTCAGTAAACTGATAGTACTCAGGCTATACTGTTACTTGTTCCAGTGTGAGTTTAAGTACATCCAAACATGACATAAGAGCACACAGAAGGTTACTGCGTCCAGTATGATCATTTCATTTTGCTGCAGACTGATCAAGAATGACAAATTTTAGTCGATTAAATCATATTTGTTGTTGTTCTAAAGCATTTAAACTCGATAAATCATAATTCTGACAACATTAAATCTGCTGAGACTTGACACTCAGAGACTCCAGACTTAAATCCTCACCTATAAAGAGAACGTTCCTCCAGCCTTGTTCATGAAAACTAGACTTGTTTTCAGAGACAGAACGATACTTTTGCTGCCACTTGTGAGCAAAATTAAAAAGTGCCCATGATGACACATTTCCCTCCTCGAATACTGTACATTTAGTTTCACGTGTCGGAGAGCTTAGACATGTCATGGAGCTGCAGACCAATGACGGAGCAGAATGTTTGTCCTCCGACCAGTAGAGATAAGGAATGGAGAGTGTGACAGCAGGTGGTGGAGGAGGCTGACATCTTGAGTTTCATCTGGGGGGATTTTAGTGTGAGTGAGTTTTAAGAAATGTCGTTACGCTTCACTATTTCTGTCCTTCAATCAAATGTATCATCTTACTGTTCCTTTCCCAAGCATAGTGATAGTGTTAAAATAATTTTAAAAACATTATCTTTCTTTTCTTTTTGTTTGAAATTTTATGTTTTGTATAAATCTTTTGCCTAAAAACACATTTTACTCAAAGTGTAAACATGAAGTGTCAAACTGCTAAATGACTTCTCAGATTTGCTGAAGAAGCTGAAACTGACTTGTTAAAACAAAATAAACAAAACAAAAATCTAATGGCTGTTTAAATTTTTTTTTAAATGTTTAACAAAAGGCTAACAAAAATTAGTAAAAGGCTAGCTAAAAGTAGCAAAACACTAGCTAAAAGTAGTACAAGACAAGTTAAAATTAGCAAAATGCAAGCTAAAAGTAGCAAAATGCAAGCTAAATGTAGCAAAACACTAGCTAAAATAAGCAAAATACAAGGTAAAAGTAGCAAAACACTAGCTAAAATAAGCAAAATGCAAGCTAAATGTAGCAAAACACTAGCTAAAATAAGCAAAATGCAAGCTTAAAGTAGCAAAACACTAGCTAAAATTAGCAAAATGCAACCTAAATGTAGCAAAACACTAGCTGAAATAAGCAAAATGCAAGCTTAAAGTAGCAAAACACTAGCTAAAATAAGCAAAATGCAAGCTTAAAGTAGCAAAACACTAGCTAAAATTAGCAAAATGCAACCTAAAAGTAGCAAAACACTAGCTAAAATAAGCAAAATGCAAGCTAAAAGTAGCAAAAATACTAGCTAAAAATAGCAAAACATTAGCTAAAAGTAGCAAAAGGCTAGCTAAAAGTAGCAAAACACTAGCAAAAAGTAACAAAAGGCTAGCTAAAAGTAACAAAAGGCTAGCTAAAAGTTGCAAAACACTAACTAAAAGTAGCTAAATTTCAACTAAAAATAGCTAAACTCTAACTAAAAATAGCAAAACACAAGCTAAAATTAGCAAAACACAAGTTAAAAATAGCAAAACACTAGCTAAAAGCAGCAAAACATTAGCTAAAAGTAGCTAAATGTTAGCAAAAATTAGTAAAAAGCTATATAAATGTTGTTAAACAATAGCTCAAAGTAATAAAAGGCTTGCTAAAAGTAGTAAAAGGGTAGCTAAAATTAGCAAGGCATAGAAAAAAACGTAAACTTAATCATCCAGGTACAACTGTAGTGAACTTAATCTGGTGTCACGACTAAGCCTAAGGTCAAAATCCTTGACCTTAGGAACCTTGTGGGACAGAAACTGTCATTTCATTGATTTGAATCCAGAGATACAGGTTCACCCATCCTGAGACTTTCTTTCTTGAAGATTCAAGTGAAAAGAACACTCTCTTTTTTATTATCATTACTATTTTACAAATGTTGATAATCAAAGTGTCTTAGTTCAAACCATTTTAGATGTTGCA